CCACAGTATAAACATGTACCAGTTTACAAGTTAGGACTTAGCTTTGATGGTAATCCAAAAAATTTATTATCATTTATAGAAAATGTAGAAGAGATGGCTCACTCTAGGGATATATCAAAACAACAGTTATTTGAATCAGCTAGTGATTTGTTCTCACAAAAAGCTAAATTTTGGTTTAGACAGGTTAAAACTTTAGTTAACGATTGGGATAGTTTAGTGAATAAATTAAAGCAAGATTTTTTAAAGTCTGATATCGATGATGATCTTTGGGAAACCATTAAGAAACGTTTTCAAGCCAGAAATGAACCTGTAGTGTTGTATATTGCATGTATGGAAACATTGTTTTCCAGACTATCTCGTAAACCGTGTGAATCAACTAAAGTCAAACATATTAGGAATGGCCTTCAGCCTGAATATAGAAAAAGATTAGCACTACATGAAATACAATTGGTAGAAGAAATAAGTTCTTTATGTAAAAAACTAGAGGAGGCAGATATTTTGAGTTTATGTTCAAGTAGTAAGTCTGATAATTATTTTCTAGAATCAGAATTAGCATATGTATCTGAATCTTCTTCCTTAGGTCCTTCACAAACTGCCACCACTAGTAAAAATAATAAACCCCAATTTCAAGGTGATAATTTTGGAAAAAATAACTATAGAGGTAAAAATAAATATAGTGGATCTTTTTCGAATAAATCTAAAAATATAATTTGTTGGAAGTGTAATATGCCTAATCACACTCATGTAAATTGTAGGGCTCCTGCCCAAGGCAAATTTTGTTATAAATGTGGTAAGGAAAATGTGACTATTAAAGAATGCCCTGTTTGTTCAAAAAACGTAAAGTAGGTGTTCCAGCAGTTGGCTCTCGAGCACTTCAAAGTTTTAAGTTCAAAGCCAACAATAAATTTAATTTTAGTCATTTTAGTAAACCAGTAGTTTCATTTAATTCTAGTAAATTTATAAATTCATTTAATTCTAGTAAACCTGTAACTGCAAACAAATCTAGTAAAAACATAGTTTCATTTTTTGATCAACAAGATTGGGATATGTGGAAAATTAAAGTAAGGGATTTTTATAAAAGTAAATTTAATAATAATGAAATTTCACCTTTATGTATTAAAAAAGAAAAGGATAATCGACCTTACATACAAGTAAAGTTGTTGGAAATGCCTATCGTAGCTTTACTTGATAGCGGTGCTAATATTTCGGTAGTTGGGAGTCAAGGTATTAAACTTTTAGAAAAATTAGGGATTTTAATTGATAGTAATTGTGAAATAAAAAATATTTCCACAGCAGATGGAAATTCTCAGTTTGTTTCAGGTAAAGTTGACTTACCAATTTTAATTAATAATATTTATAAAATAGTACCTGCTGTAGTAGTTCCTACAATATCTCATTCTATAATATTTGGCATGAATTTTTGTGAAATTTTTCAAGTTAAAGTAGATTTTCAAAATTTTAAATGGGATATACAATGCAATCTAACTGAATCTGCTCTGTGTACAGTGTCGGATGTAAATTTAACAAAGCCTTCAGAAGGTATAAAAGATTTGAATCATTTAACCAAAACCCAAAAAGCAGTTGCAAAAAAGGTAGTCAATTCTTTTGAAAAAATAAGTAATGAGAAAAAGTTAGGCCGTACTGATAAAATTAAGTTGAATATTGAGACAGGCGATGCCAAACCATTCAAGGTACCCCAATACTTGATGTCACCCTATATGTTAGATATTTTAAACAAAGAACTTGATGAAATGTTAAAGCTAGGAGTTGTAGAACCTTCTTTTAGTCCTTGGAATAGCCCAGTTTTATTAGTAAAGAAAAAGACAGGTGAATATCGTTTTTGTTTCGATGGTCGAAAATTGAACGAAATAACAAAACATGATTCCTATCCATTACCTAGAATAGACCGTATACTTAGCATGTTAGGTAAGGCTAAATACATCTCTAGTATAGACTTGAGAAAAGCCTTTTGGCAAATCCCATTAGATGAAAAGTCTAAGGAAAAAACAGCGTTTAGTGTGCCAGGTAGAGGATTATTCCAATTTTCAGTAATGCCATTTGGTCTGTGTAATTCTGCACAAACACAACAACGATTGTGTGATTCTATCTTTGGTCCGAAGTATGAACCTTATCTTTTCTGTTACCTCGACGATATTATTCTAGTAACTGAGAATTTTGAGGATCATGTTAGGCTCTTAAACGAGGTTTTAGCAAAGTTATTAGAAGCTAACCTAACAATAAATTTAAAAAAGTGTGAATTTTTTAAGACATCACTTAAGTATCTTGGTTTTGTGGTTGATGTAGAAGGGTTGCGTACTGACCCTGATAAAATTTCAGTTATGGTTAATTATCCACGTCCAAGAACTTATACAGAAGTTAAAAGATTTTTAGGGTTATGTTCTTGGTATAGGCGCTTCATAAGTAACTTTTCCGCTTTAGTATCTCCTCTTAATGATCTTTTAAAAGGTAAACGTAAATCTCAAAACATAGTTTGGAATGATATAGCTGAAAAGTCTTTTTGTCAAATAAAAGAAGCCTTAGTTAGTGCACCTATTTTAGTTTCGCCTGACTTTACTAAAAAATTCACTATTCACTGTGATGCATCTCAATTTGCTTTAGGGGGAGCTTTGACCCAAGAAATTGATGGTCAGGAACGTGTCATAGCATATGCTTCTAGAACCTTGTCTAGAAGTGAACGTAATTATACTGTTACTGAAAAAGAACTTTTAGCTTTGTTATTCTTGATTAAAAAATTCAGAGGTTATATAGAGGGTAGTAGATTTTGCTGTATTACAGATCATTCTGCACTTTTATTTTTAAACAACCTGAAAGAACCTCAAGGTAGATTAGCTCGATGGGCGATTACTCTTAGGCAGTATGATTTTGAATTAATACATAAAAAAGGAAAAGCTAATGTATTACCAGATGCTCTAAGCAGAATACCAAATATTGTCAATTCAGATCACCCTGTAGAAAAGCCAAATTCAGATATTAAATTAGATCACCCTGTAGAAAATGCAATTTTAGAAATTCAACCTAAAGATTCAGATAATTGGTATCTTTCTCTAAGAACCAAAATTTTAGAAAAACCCAAGTCTTATCCACAGTGGAAAATAATAGATGGATTCATATACAAATACATACCTAACACATTGCCAGTTTCTTCAAACTGCCATGAATGGAAACGTTTAGTTCCACGTTCTCAGATTAAAGATGTCATTGCTAGTTGCCACAATCCTTCCACTGCAGGTCACTTTGGTTTTTACAAAACATTAGGTAGAGTCCAAGAATTATATTATTGGCCAAAACAGAGGGTAGATGTTTTAAAATTTGTTAAATCTTGTGAAGTTTGTCAATCTCAGAAAATGCCAAATAGTTCTAAAGTAGGGTTAATGGGTTCTCAAAAAACTGTAAACTTTCCTTTTGAAATTTTGTCTTTAGATCTTCAAGGACCTTTTCCAAGAAGTACAAAAGGAAATTGTTATTTATTAGTCATAGGGGATTGGTTTTCTAAATTTACTCTTTTATTTCCGCTTAAAGCAGCTATAGCCCCTACTATAACAAGAATAGTTGAAAATCAAGTATTTTTAAAGTTTGGTGTACCTAGGGTAATATTATGTGATAATGGGAGTCAGTTTGCCGGCAAAGTATTCAAAAAACTCATTGATAAATATGAAATTCAAAAAATTTGGTTTACTCCACGATATAGCTTACATTGCAATTTTGTTGAACGCAACAACAAAACTGTTGGTACAGTTATTCGTAGTTATGTTCATGAGCATAAATATTGGGATACAGAAATAGATCAATTTCAGTTAGCGATTAATTCGGCTAAGCATGAGGTTCATGGCTATACGCCAAACTTCTTAGTTTTTGGGAGAAATATTCCTACCTCAGGAAAGTATTATGGGGAGCTCAAAAGCACTCAGAATTTTGAATTATCTCCAGGTAGTAGAGATAATTTTGTAAGAGATTTAGAAGGTTTAAGACCTATTTTTGAAGATGTTAAGAAAAAACTTGACACTGCTCATAAAAGATATGAGAAGAGTTATAATCTGCGTAGAAGAGATCACTTCTATAATGTAGGTGACAAGGTTTGGAAGAGGAATAAAGTCCTTTCCAACGCAGTATTGAAATTTTCTGCCAAGCTTGCACCCAAATATGTTTTGTGTACTGTACGACGAAGGATTTCGAGATTAGTATATGCACTAGACCACATTGATGGATCGAATGCTGGTAACTGGCATATTTCTGATCTTAAACCATATTATGGTTCGAATTCTGATGTTTCAGTAGGGTAAAAGCAACAGAAATTGGTTCATCAGTGATACTTTACAAAAAATTATCACTTAGTAATTTTGAACTAAAACGTTTTAGTATTTTTAGTATTTTTTTTATTAGTTTAATTTTCATCTGTAGATAAAATGTATTTACTTGACTATTCACAGTAAGTTCAAGAATGAACAAAATACTTGAGCAAAAATGATTTTTTCATTTTTAGTTTTATTGATAGACATACCTATTTTGACCTTACCCCATTGTGACTTTTATCGATATTGTCTCCTTTTAGGACGTGTGGTACGCGTAGATACCTCCTCAATAAAACAAGCTCAAATAATTTGAAAAGTTTAAACTATAGACTTAAACTAAATTATACTTTTATGTTAATGCACTTGCACATCAATGCACGTTAAATATTTTGTGAAAAATTAAATAGTAGTTAAGAGTGAACTTAACTTAACGTAACTCAACTTAAGTGAACCTTATTATAAAATGGTGTTGAATTTAAATTTGTTTTCATTTAGACTTGATAAAAATATATTGACAAGTCAACATATTTTTTTGGAGGGAGAAAGGGAATTTGTAGCAGTTAAAAATTGCTTACCTGGTTTTTACTATAAACACAATAAATATTAAGTAGTCATGAACATACTTTATTCATTTAAATAACTAGTGTACAGATATGGATGGAAGTATATATTTAATTTTATAGATTAAACTTCTAGTTTCTGGGTTCTGGTAGTTGAAATTTGATTTTTAGTAACAAAATATAATCCATCTTCACCAATCTGAAAATAAAGTTAATGTTAATTATGTAATGTCGAATATCATGTAATAAATGACTTACCTTTCTGCCTCTCTATTTTGTAGAAGGTGTACATAATTATTAATTTTCAACGAAAAGTTAAATTGTTTTATTCTTCTCGGCCAGCTGTTTTGACTTTGTGAAAAATGTCAACAAATGTATCGATCTGAAGTTAAACACCTGTTGTCTTCGGTTTATTGCTTCGAGTCTAACTGTTCGAGAATCTATGATTGTCTGCTTATAATTTAGGCGGTTTTTCAAGAAAGTCGTTGTTCTAAGGCCCAAATTTACCATAGACTGTTAATTAACCTAGGGAATTTTTCTCTATAAGATTGGTCTTCTGTTTGTCTCTGACATTTGTCATCAAATCATCACTTCCTATTTTTTGTAAAATTTTTGGCTTTATATTAAGCCATGGCCGAAATGAAAAGGCTTTTGCATTTTTGTCGGGTTTAGTTGCCTTGTGTCCCCTAAATTTCGAGAGGGTAAGTCTTTTTTGTTGTCTTCACCTAGAAGTATTTTCTAAAATAATTTTATATAGGGACTAGCTGGAAGCCTATTCCTTTTCGAGGAATTACCATTTTCGGGGTAACTTGTTCTGCTCCTGAATCCTGTGCAACCACACGTGGGTCCAACCACCAGTTACAGTCCCTGATGCCTCCAATTTGTCGGCGATAATAGGGCTGTGGAAAAATCAGTTAGTTACCACCAACATCACTTCAATCCCAAGAAGACTTCTCGATTTTTGCTTCCTGAAAGCATGGCCATGTGTTCGTGTTCGAGCCATTGTTCTCTGCTCCAACTTTAAATTGCCTCCAGGACTCCTTCAAACTTCTCCAAATCAACCTCTACCACCTAAGCTGCTTTGGGAATAATAGGCTTGAGAACAGGTTTTTTTTTGCAATTTTTTTATTTTCTTTAAAAGATAATATCTTACAGAAAGTTACTTTGTTTTATGATATACCGCAAATAGTGGCTTAAATATTTTTTCTTTAAGTATTTTTAATAAAATATTTCAATAAAGTGTAAACCCTTATAGCTATAAAAGGTACTAGGTATAATATAATTTTTTTTCAAGAATCAAAGTAATGAGTTATAGTTTTTTTAATACTATACCACTAACTCACATAGTTAGGTATATATATTTAATTGTTTAAATATTAATATAATTTTCCAATTACTAAGTACATTTATAAAATGTTATTTTTTTTTAAACTTTCAATCTGAAGGTCATTTTGCAATGTCATATTGACTATTATTTTTTTTATGTACTTAACTTAGGGCTCAATTAAATATTTGCTATTTTTCAATAATTTGTTAAATTTCTATTTAATTAAAATAAAATAAAACAAGCTTTTGTTAGTTGAATCTGTGTTTTGATTTTGGAGTCTACAATTTTGCAATTTTGGTAATATTAGTTTTTTTGGTAAGTAAGAGTTAAATCATTTAATCGCAGTCTTCATTTTTCTTTGTTTGGTGAAGTATTACTTAACTGTATAAATAAAGTGGCGCTCTGGGCACGACTATTTTATAATTCAATTTCCACACATTAAATTTAAATTCAAATTTCACTTTTAATTTTAACATTTTTTTTATAAACTAAAGCAACAGTATCTACGACCATTGCTCGCCGATGAACAGCTGCCGCTAGCATATGTAGCAAACAGATCAGTTGCTGACTTTCCATCATTAATTCTAAAATATTGCTACATTATCGCGACGTCGTCGGCGTAACGAATGTTATTTATCGGGAACCAGTTTACCTTTATTCCACACTCAGAGCCTTCCAGTGCCTCTGCAATAATGTTCTCCACATAGAAATCGAAAAGCATTGGAGACAAAATACACCCCTGTTGTACCCGTCTTAAAATTTCAAATTCTTCTGTGTTGGTTGACTTGTTCAGTCTGACTCGTGCTTTTTAATTCCAATAGAGATTCTGGATAACTCTTATATTTTTCTCGTCAACGTTAACTTTCTGTAGCATTTTTATCATTGTATCATGTTTTACGATGTCAAACGCTTTTTCATAATCGAGAAATGTTATGACTATATCCTTTGACCTTTTTATGTAGTCTGAAGCTGTCTCCCTTTTCTTGTAGTGGTTCCAGTTCTTCACAACGTTCTTTCATCCAGCTTTCCTTTGCGTTTTTAATTCTTACCCTTATCGTACGTTTGATTTTCTTGTATTCCTTTTGATTCTGATGCATTTTGTACTGTCTGCGTTGCTTAATTAGATTAAGTATGTAAGTCTACGTAAATGGGTATATTTATTAAAAAAAAAACCCTTAAAAGGGCTACATAAAAAAAAACAAACGTTTTCGGACTTAACAGTCCATCATCAGGTTTAAAATTGCTAGGTTAAAATGCCTGAGCCACCAAAATACCAGGGTAAAAACCCTTTAAATTACATGTAGTTTTTAAAGATTGTACATATTGTTGTTATTAAAATGTGATGTTAAATATTAAATTGAATTTGACTTCAGGTAACATGTTTGAAGTGAGTTCCAGTGTCCGGAGAGTAAACCTCTTCAAACGGACTACAGTAACCCAGTTACCAGCTGTATAACAGACATTGAAATTTTATTATCAAGCACTATTGCAACTCCATGCCTGTGGTAATTATCTGTGGCATCTCTACTGGAATAGTACACTGTAAAGTTGTCTGTGTGAGAAATACCTGAGCCAGACCACCTCAATTCACTTACACTCATTGCTTTCACTTCTAGGCGCCGCATTTCTTTGAGCAGGTTATGTAACTTTCCTGTGATGCACAAACTATTGACATTCTATGTCGCTACTTTATGAACATCTTGAAAAATCGAATTCGAGGGATTTTTAGCACCCTCGGATCATCTAAGGTCTGCCCAGGGATATCCGTAGGGATATTTAATGTAGTGGTTTCCCCTTACCTTCTAAATCTTGTGTCTGAGACAATGCAAGCAGCCTTAAATATAATTGACGACTGATGTAAACAAGAGAGACTGATAGTCAATGCTCAGAAATCACAAATCGTCGATTTCACCAAAAAACAGCACTACAAGGCATAAAACCACCGGTGCTGGGAGGAACAGAGATTTCATTTGCCAAAGAAACAAAATACCTTGAGGTGTATTTTGATCAGGGAATACTCACATTTTGAAAACCACACAGAAAACTACTATGTTCCTGGGCAGATGTAGGAGAATGTGCGGTAACAATTGTGGACTTATCCCCAAAATGACTATATGGTTATACCCAAGGGTTTAGTAGACCAACGATAATCTATGACTGGGTGACTTGGTGGACGAACACGCAGCAAGTGGGAGCAATAAAGCTGCTACGTAATACACAAAGGCTAGAATGCCTGTGTATTACGGGGGCCTTAAATATAATTCCTACTGCATCGTTGGAAGTCCTGCTGAATTTATCACCACTTCATATCTTTATACAAGGTCAAGCTAGATCAGTGATGAACATATTAATTCATAGTCAGCGACATATAAGCCAGATATATGGTGCTGACAACAGAAGGCTAATCGACGAGCTAAAACCTGATATTGTGATGGAGCAACCTATTGATGCAACAGCTACGACATATAGCTTTAACAATAAGTTCACAGAAGACTGGAATAAAGGTGTACCTATACAAGTTGCTGCTACATCACTACGTAAAAGAAATAAAAAGACTGGAAAGAACGTTTTGTTTAATTGCCATCTTCACAGATATTGAGGTAGCGCTTAAGGCACTTAAATTTGTAAAGGTCAATTCTAAGCTAGTATGGGATTGTGGGTATGTCCTCAATAAACTAACCTTGCCGTAGCGAGGTTACGGTTAGTAGCCTAATTACCGAAACACGAGGGGCATAAGGGCAATGAAAAAGCAAATGAAATGGCCAAACAATGCTCATCAATGCAACATGTTGCCGAAATCTTTTGCGGCGTTGCAAAGACAGTAACAAGAACGGCAACAAGGAAGTGGGTAGCTCAAAAATCTGTCTAATGGTTCATTACAGAACATTCACCAAAATTTACGGCAGATCTAATAAGCAAAGACAGTAAAACAGTAAAAGTCATAGTAGGTCTTCTAACAGGGCACTGTAAGCTGAATAGCACTTAAAGCTGATTTGATTATCAGATAATGACCTGTGTAGATTCTGTCACCTCAAAGAAGAAACAGCAAAGCACATTCTATGTCAGTGTGACAGTCTGGCAAATCTGCGGTTCCTTGCATTAGGAGAAGAAAATCCACCGGAAAATATCTACATGGAAGGTACAGTCTCGAAGCTATTAGACTTTTTAAAAAGGGTCAGTCTAGGAAATGTTATTAAGGACTAGAAATCCACAATAGATCTAAAAAGGTCACAGTGGAATAGGCCAAAAGACCAGCTCTCTAAATCTATCTATCTATTAAAAATTACAAAAATGAAATTATAAAACTATCAAACAAAACAGACATTTTTTTTAAACTGAAATTGTGGCTTATTCCCAATAAAAATAGTAATTCTAATGTGGTATTTTAAAATGATCATCCAAACTGATTTTCCTCTAACTTTTTACTTTTATATTATACCTAATGCTTCTGAGCAGCTATATTAGCGTTTAATGTTTATTTTTTTGCCTCGCTAATTTGATCGTTCAGACATGCTAAGAAGATTCGGCGATATTTTGGCAGCGTAAAAGTTTTGCAGACTCGTCTCGCCGACAAAATGGTGTAGAGCGCTGAAAATCGAAGTCGAGCGTGAAATATTAGAAAGTTATTGAGGTTGATGCAACGTGTTCGATATTGTTTCATTAGCTTGCCATTTGCCACATTAACTAAAATTCTAGTTAGCACGCGATTGCCTCGTTTTGAGGTAAATGTATCTTTGCACGACTACTATTTGTGCGGTTTTTTTAAAGCGTTATTTGTCGTGGTTTTAGAGTAAATAAGTTAATATTATCATTCGTTCTAAAAATGATATGTTCTAAAAATACGCAAAAAATTTATTTTTAATGTTTAAATG